ATAAAGAAAATAAAAGATAAATACAAGATAAAAGGTAAAACCCGTCCCTTGGATAGATTCTTGAAACAATGAAATGGTATAATCTTGATTTACCCCAAATTTTCTCATTTTTTTGCTTGGGTTTCTCTCCCTTTATCCTTGCCTCTTTTACTTTCTTCTTAACTCTTGAATGGATGTATAGAGAATGGGCCTTCAATATAAGAAATGAGATATTTAAATGCCCTAAAACGAGCCTTAAAAATGTCCAAAAGGCCCCTAAAAAATCCTCAATTTACAAAAATGGATATTTAAATGCACTAAAACGAGCCTTAAAAAAATAGGGCAGATCGAAATGGCCAATGCGACTGTAAGGGCAATGCGTTTGGGTAGTTACTGCCCAAACGCGTGCCAAGCCACATGGCTACGCCGACTTGTAACTTGCAGTCACGGTACATTGCTGTTGTTTCTTTGCGACTTCAATCCTTGGCCTAATTGCAATCAGGTCTCTTAATTTTAATCTTATACATCTTTGTCTTCAAATTTTGACTTTTCTTTCAATTATGCTCTCAATGAATTGCATCAAAAGTCCTTCAACTTTCGAAACTTGTACAATTTGGTCCCAGTTTCAGATTTTTGTTCGCTTTTTTATCCTTTTTCCTTTCCTTTTGCCTTTTTCTCCTTCAATTTGGGATTTTTGTCTACAAAAGCTACAATAACACAATTGTGAATAGAAATCCACTCCTGTAATCAATAATAAGCTTATTTTAAGTATCAAATAAGTATGTAAAAGCACACTTATCACCGCTTACCAAAGTTGAAACTAAAGTTGACTATATCATTTAATTTATCATAAAAATCATCAAAAGACTCGTCATCGTTTTTATCCTAATTTTCTCAAATTTAGTAGTCAACACTTGCAATTTTGTGGTTTTAATGATTTTAGTTCCCTCATGCATGGTTTCTCATGTATACCAAGCTTCTTTAGCAATCTCACACATATATACCTATTTAAACTCTTCGAGCAAATATCCATAAAAATGGCATGTGTACCTCTACTATTCCAGTTACAATCGGCTAACTCATCATTAATCCAAGTAGAGTATTATCTGGTCTGACAACACCAGCATTTCATGTAGATGGGATGATCCAACCCAAATCTTTTCATCCATAAATTTAGGAAATGCTCTCATTCTAACATTCCAATAGATATATTACTATTATCAAAATAAGGAGGAACGAAAAGTGATTGATTCATCTAGACAAATAGGGTCAAGGATCACAATTAAGTTTTGATAACGCTTGTTGAGAAATATTCAGATCCAAATATGCAGAATTAATCAATAGCAAACAACAAGTCACTTAATAATTGTTTTTAGATGATTAATGTAATTAATACATTTAACCCTAAGTTTAAACAATCACATAAACGTATAAATCAAAAGCGAGAAAGTAAATAACACGAGATATGATCAAGGAGGAAAACTCATTCTCACGATAAAAAACCTTTAGGTAAACTTGTCTGTAAAATTCACTAGAAAAGTTAACTTACAATTTGTCCCCTCTGATTTGCAACGATAAACTTATAACTATTCTACCACTTATAGCAATCATTCTTCACGTGTCCATGTTTTTTGCAATGATAACAGACAATATCATTGTTATTATTCTTAAACGTGTCCCTTCTATAACCACCTAAATTCCTCTCACGAACAACAAGACCCTCTCTCTAGGCCTCCAATATGACGACTAGCTATTTTATCTTCTCCTTAGAATAAAGCGAGTCATAAACTTAATCAATAGTGAGAATATCTCGACTATACAAGATAGTGTCCCTGAATGTCATATTTGAAATGGGCAAAGAACATAACAAAATCAACCTTAGATCCTCTTCATCGTACTTGACATCTATGGTCTCCGAAGATAAATGATCTTCCAAAAATTCGCCTTTTGTCAAGCGATGAAAATATAAAAGATTCTTCAAATGCCCTTTGCTGGTTAGTCTCCAAGTCATTTATAACTGCTCCAATTTCAACCATAATGTAGCGATACTTTTCCCCTTTACCCGTCCTGAAGATTATGATTCGAAAGATGAAGATGTATCTGTGATAGGGCCTTCCATTCCTTACGTTGCTTCTTCTCTAGTGTCAAAGTTGAAGGCATCTTATTCAACCCTAACAAAGCATCATCTAAATCAATTTGGGTAGGAATTACTCTCATCTTAATATGCCACAAAAATAATCTGGTGTTGCGATCCAAAATTGAGATTTTAAATTTCATTATTGCCAACACAAAAGATCAATCTCGCACTGACACTAGTTTGTTTGAGAATAAAGAGACAATATGCCAATTTGAAATCAAACAACAAGAACACAAGATTTATGTAAAAACTTGACTGGGAACACCCACGGGCAGAGAAGGATAATTCACTATAATCAAAGTAAAGAGTTACACTATGTTAGGCTGGATCTCACAAGATTCTCTCTTGGATATCTCGATTTGCGAGTCTCTCTCTATTAATTTGGATCCTCTTTTGGTTGTGTTTTACAAAATGTTGTGTAATACGCCATATATTTATCAATCAAGCTATGTGTATATCTTACCTTACATTAACTTTTACATTCTTCCACATATCACTGTCATAGCCTTTGAATTTTCGAACACATTTTCACATCACTACCCAAATTTTGCCTCATAGGGGACAATGTCATGAAAGATATACACAAGAATGTACATCTAGCAAAATTCTATATTTATAATACAACAATTTCTAACATACTAAGAGAATTAATATAATGAAGAATTTAATATATAGTGAACTCATAATACAATGGATAAAACTAATAATGGAATATTTGGAATGAAATAGGAGTAAAAAACTTCCAAAAATCAGAATTAGAATCTTGCTTGGACATCACCATTGCTCGAGCGGCAACATCATGGAGCTTGAGTGGTAACACGGCCGCTCGAGCCATAGCCTAGTGCCAAGTGAGTGCCAAAACCCCTGTTCTAAGCACTCGAGCGTCCCTTGGGCATTTAGCAAGCGTCTCGCGTAAAACCCTCTTAATCCATCTTGGACTCCTTCAAGATATCTTCAAGTCTACTACCAACTCCAAATACTCCTCCAATAGTATTTCTGATCAAATACTCAACAAGAATTCAAGTCACAAACCAATTTTAACAAAATGGAAATGAAATAATGTAAAAAGGGAAAGTATGGAACCTTTTTTCCTCCCAAGACGAAAATTGTTCTTTTTTTGTGATGCATGTTTCTCGAGTTGCTTGATCAGCAGTGCTTCTTTTCTAGAAGATGTGCATCTTTTGATTTTACTCTCATAGCACCCTTTGTTGCACTACGTGAAGAAGCCATTACAAAATTTGAAACCTGCACTGAAAAATTATTTACTTAAAAAATTATAACTCATATGTTTATGATATATAATCTGTGAGAGAAGATAAAACATATTATTGTACAATATATATGTTTGGAATCTATGTTGACAGTTTTTACAAAATAATTTGTGCGAAGATTAGATAACTTAACTGGGAAAAAAATCATAGATATATTTTGGCAAGCATAGTATCAAAAAAAGAACTGAATAAGATGAAGAATTAGTGTTTAATTATGATAAAAAAATCTTACCTCATGATTGTTCTTAGAAGATGGCGATGATACTTGAAAATATTGTAGCCGTTAAAAGGTAAAGTTGAGCAATTGTTAAAGTTGTATATTTACACATTAATATTGAGTCATTCAGGACATTTGTACAAGACGTGTCCTTCAAAGTATTTTTTTTTTTTTTTTAATTTGCTTTTCTTAGAATGTGCTTTGATCTAATTTTTTCATGAAGTTCGACATGAATAGGTTGTCCAATATAATTTGTGATGTTTTATTGTTACGAAAAAAAGAATTGATGATTTACAGAATGACACGTGTTCGGATATATCACCAATTTTGTGTTTTTGTCATGAACACGTTCCTTTTCATCACGCAACATAGCATGTATAGACTCATCTTCACATCCTACAATATACAATGTTTCTCAAAAAAAATTTCAATATATTTCGTAATTGTTACAAAACGCCTAAGTTTGAGAACCAGCTTTCGATTTTTTATTATTATTATTTTTTTTTGTAATGATATTTTTTCAATTTTTCTGATATAGCAACCTAGCGCGCATCTTGCAAGTTATTAGTTATGACATCAAGACATATTTTAGCCATCAAAACACCAATTGATGCTTTATAAGTTAAAAATAGTTATTTTGAGCCTCAAAACATCAAGTTAGCATCATGTTATTGCTTTCCATGTAGCTGAAAGAGGGCTAGAATGACTTGGAAATTGTCAAAACACATTTTAGTCTGTTTTCTCTCAAGCTTGTTAGCTTCTAATTTCATTCAGTGTTCTACTCCCCACTGGAATGGGTAAAAATCATGCCTTTTCGTTATTCTTTTACATACTATTTCAGTTCCCTCTATTTGCGTTTGAATTTATAGCTTACAAACTGGGGACAGCTACGTCTACCTCTCCTTCTAAATGCACCTTCTGAACTTGTTTACCTGTATTTGTATTTAAATTTATTTTTTTTCCTCACTACTAGGTGACGTTCGACATCTACAACAATAACTTTAAAAAACTATACTTTTTTTTTTTTTTTTGTTTACACTTGACATAGCATGTATTGCAATATACTAATATATTAGTTATATATATTAGTTATATTTATATATGCAATGTATTATAATTTGTAATATTATATTTTGAGCAAGTGTGGATCTGTTCAAGTTTTTTTTTTTTTTTTTTTTTCACGTCGGGTGATATAAACTGTCTAGCAATATTATTCACTTTGTCCATAGAAAAACGTTTTTATTGACACGATGTGTAACACGTCGAGTTTTTATTTTTCTACTCATTTATGTCAACGTGCTGTTTGTTTAATCTTTACACTTTCACTGTGAAATTCTTCACAATGTAGGAATGAGAATATTGTATACATCTCAACGACAAATTCACTGGAAGTCCCATGGTCCTCTCTAGATACGAGTTCATCTTAGGTTTGAATTTGAAGATAATGGTAGGGGTTCTTGATTCAATTTTACAAAATGCTGCTTATGGAGGTGAGGCAGACAAAACATGAGGAAATGTGGTTCAAGATCGCTTGCAGATTTTTGAGATTTCCGATTTGAGTTCTATCTTGTGACTGAGTTGAAGTGTATGGGGTAAATATATCTCATTCGAAACCATCCCTAAGGTACAATGCTACTTGTCTTGCAGCATTTTTTGACAACGTTAATATCACTTTCAATACTACATCAGTTCATATAATGTAACATTTCATGCAATATAGAAAAAGTTTTATAGTGATCCCAGCTTTTAATTCTTATCATTTTCATTACACTGTGATCAATAATTTTACAACAAATTATAAAACGATAGTTTTTAAATGTAAAGCTTCTCAGCTCTCTGTCTCTTTCCTAAAAGTTGATGAAATGTTCTTCCGTTTTAAGCTCATAGCAATTAGAATAATGTATCTACCTATCAATGTGTTGTTACTTTGAGAGTATTATTAAAAGTGAATCTTCAATCTCTAATAGTACATTCGAATTCTATTGTTCTTTAATCTGGCGATTCATCACGAGTCATAATCGATATATTGCAATTTATTGACTTTTTTTAGTTTCAATTACATAAAGAAGAGAGGTTAAGGAGAGTCGATAGTATTGATCTATTTTGTAGAAATATACCCCTTGTTGGTAGAAATCAAAATCTAGATTTTATTTTAAATCAAAGTCATTAATTAATTTTAAACACATATTTTATGGGTCCCATAATTTTTCAATAAGATATTTCATCATTTTTTATCAAACAAGGACAATAACAAAAGTCAAGTAGTCTTTACGGATTTATTTTGTTGAATTAAGCTCTTTTGTCAAAACAATTTGTCACCTTCGTTGACATACACTCACATGAAAGTGGGATCCATGTGAATAAAAAATTTCAAAAAAGTATTCCCTTATTGTGAGTATGCTGTCAAGAAATGTGTCAAATCCTCTTAACAGTATAGCAGCTCTGCATTTTGTTGTATACTGGAGTTGATACCCTCCTCACAAAAGGAGGGGCACATCCAATAAAAAATTCGTGGCTCCCCGATTGTAGGGGCTGTACATTGGAGTGTGGTTGACAAGTAGCAAAACCCTTTGTTTTATTGGGCAGGTGATTTTTTCCAAGTGAATAAATGGATCGCAAAACTATTTTAGCCTTCTTCATTTAGTCCTGTGACGGGTCATCGTATTCGGGTTTTCTTATAATCGGATATAAAACCCACAATCAGGAATTAAGATGGAGATTTGAAGCAACCAAACTGAAGATTTACAGATCCAGATTCAAGATTCATTATTCAAGTCAGAAATCAATTGATTAAGGTATGTTCCGCGTTAATTCAGTTTCTTGATGGTTTGACATGGAGATCTTGGCAAGATCATAAAGTTTAAGTTTTATCAAAGTTCTAACAATCCCAGCTTTTAATTCTTATCATTTTCATTACACTGTGATCAATAATTTCACAACAAATTATAAAATGATAGTTTTTAAATGTAAAGCTTCTCATCTCTATGTCTCTTTCCTAAAAGTTGATGAAATGTTCTTCCATTTTAAGCTCATAGCAATTAGAATAATGTATCTACCTATCAATGTGTTGTTACTTTGAGAGGAATAATAATTTTATCAAAAGTGATTCTTCAATCTCTGATAGTACATTCGAATTCTATTGTTCTTTAATCTAGCGATTCATCACGAGTCATTATCGATATATTGCATTTTATTGACTTTTTTTAGTTTCAATTACATAAAGAAGAGAGGTTAAGGAGAGTCGATAGTATTGATCTATTTTGTAGAAATATACCCCTTGTTGGTAGAAATCAAAATCTAGATTTTAATTTAAATCAAAGCCATTAATTAATTTTAAACACATATTTTATGGGTCCCATAATTTTTCAATAAGATATCTCATCATTTTTTATCAAAATATAATAGAAACTTAATTTTAATCTCCATCAAACAAGGACAATAACAAAAGTCAAGTAGTCATTACAGATTTATTTTGTTGAATTAAGCTCTTTTGTCAAAACAATTTGTCACCTTCGTTGACATACACTCACATGAAAGTGGGATCCATGTGAATAAAAAAATTCAAAAAAGTATTCCCTTATTGTGAGTATGCTGTCAAGAAATGTGTCAAATCCTCTTGACAGTATAGCAGCTCTGCATTTTGTTGTATACTGGAGTTGATACCCTCCTCACAAAAGGAGGGGCACATCCAATAAAAAATTCGTGGGCTTCCCGATTGTAGGGCTGTAGATTGCAGTGTGGTTGACAAGTAGCAAAACCCTTTGTTTTATTGGGCAGGTGATTTTTTCCAAGTGAATAAATGGATCAGAAAACTATTTTAGCCTTCTTCATTTAGTCCTGTGACGGGTCATCATATTCGGGTTTTCTTATAATCGGATCCTCCTTCCCCCAAACGAAAACGACGCAAATAGTACCAAAAATTTCCCAATTATCTAGTTCAATTCCTTCTAAGAACTCGATAATCGACTCCCCTAATTTTTCTTTAATCCTCCAATTGAACACACGCCCCATTCAATTCTCTTAGTCCTCTTTCGATTTACCCCCTTTTCAACCCTTGCCGTTGAGTCTACAAAATTATTTGTTTTCACTTTCAATTCTTGGTTCTGTACATTTCGACCCGTAAATTTGTTAATAAATAGTTTTCGTCTGAGCTGAATTTATTGGGGGATCTGGTATGCCTGTTTCTGAATTGAATTTTAATATATATTATTTGGTAATTTGTATCAATTTGTGTGAAACTAGGGTTACTGTTTTTTATAACCCAGTCGTACTTTTTTCTCCCATTAATTTGAGTTGAATACTATATGCTAATTGAGAAGTCGCTATTGAATTGTCTGTATATTTATTTGTGATTAATTTTTTTTCCTATAAAAAAAGTAACAAAGAATAAATTTTAAATATTTTTTTGAAGAAATTACTTTAATTTTTAATCCTCTCTTTTATTTTAATCAGTCTTTATTTATTGTGGATGACCTTATTGTTAGAGTCATTTTTCCCTTCATATAAGAATCCAATTACTGTTAACTTTGTCTCCTGCTGTTATTATTTATTTCAAAACGCAGTAAAGTTTCATGGAAGCTAATGTGTGATACTGAAACAAGTGGTTTTCAGTTAACAAATTGTTAGGACAGATATTCCAACTACATTTGGTAAACTGACAATCACTTGTTTCCAGCATTAGCACCAAAGTAATGCAATGCACTACAGTAAGATTGCAAAGTTTAACAGTTAGTAACTTTTTGCAATTGCATTCAGTTGGTAGCAATGCATTCAATTCAAAAAATGATTGTCACATACCAAATTTTGTTGTTATATCTGTTCTAAGAACTATGTTTCTAGCATTGTTGCGTAGCTATACAGCAAATTGTTCTCTTGTTGTTACATTTTGTTAAATAAATGTCGTTTTTGAGGTTGCGGAAACATGTAGTTTATGGTTACTGGTTGGCATTTGGGTGGGTCTTGCGTGTTGGTTTTATACAGAGGGCCAGGTAATAGAGAACATGCTCTCGAATCCTGTATATGTAAGATTTTTTGCGTCTATTTGGAAATTATTTGTTTTCTTTTTTTCCAATAATGTAGATGTGTAAGTTAAACACACTTTAAAAACACATTGGGTGACATGTGAACACTATTCTAAAGTTTCCTATTAAAAGGGTAATTAGCACATAACGTTCCCACCTTTCATTATTATTGTGAAAAACGTCTATACATTTCATTTTTTGACATTTCACCCTTCTTTTCATCTTTTATTTCCCAAAATGTCATTTTCATACATTTTCTCAATTAAAATTTGTGAAATGACGAAAATACCCTTTCCTTTAAATAAAACAAAAGAAAAAAACTAATTTCAATCATAGTCTCAATTTTTTGAAAAGCGCAAATGAGTCTCAAATAAATTATTAAAAGGGCAATTAGTACATAATGTCCATATCTTTCACCTTTATTGCTAAAAACGTTCATACCTTTCATTTTTTTGGCATTTTCACCCTTAATTACACATTTGAATGTGCAAACCATCCTTTTCATCCATTTTTATTCAATTTCTCAATAAAGAACTGTAAAATAATGAATATACCCTCATATTTAAATAAAAAATATATTTTTTTAATTTCTAATTCTTTGATAATTTATTTAAGACTTGTTTGCACTTTTTAATTTTTTTTTTTTTTTTGAATTTTTAAATAAATTTAATTGGGACTTGTTTGCACTTTTCATAAAAAATTAATTTTTTTTTAGTAATTTATTAGGGACTCGTTTGCACTTTTAAAAAAGGGACTATGGTTGCAATTAATTCTTTAGCTTTTTTATTTAAATAGGAGGGTATATTCGTCATTCCACTATTTTTTATTGAGAAATTGGATGAAAATTGATAGAAATGATGGTTTGCGCTATCAAATTATAATTAACTAAGAAAATGCCAAAAAAATAAAAGGTAGGGATGTTTTTCACAATAATAGTGAAAGATATGGACATTATATGCTAATTACCCTTATAATAATTTATTTGGGACTCATTTGCACTTTTCAAAAAAGTCGGGACTATATTTGCAATTATTTTTTTCTTTTTCCTTTTGTTTTATTTAAAGGGAATGGTATTTTCGTCATTTTACAATTTTTAATTGAGAAAATGGATAAAAAAGACCTTTTTGCGCAATGAAATGTGGAAATAAGGGTAAAAATGCCAAAAAAAAAATAAAAAGGACGTTTTCCACAATAACGGTGAAAGGTGGAGACGTTATGTGCTAATTACCCTTAATGAAATATTGCAATAAGTAACAGATGTCATAATGTCACCGGGCATATTTTTCATTTCAAATATTGTCTTAATTTGCATGATTTGTTGTTTTCTCCTGTAGTACAAGTTATGGGAGTCAAAAGGCTCTTTGATGAGGAGGATTTTCAAGAGCTGTCTTTCAAGCAAGCTAAACGACTTGGTTTTGAGGATAAGCTGGCTCCATTTTCTGAGAATTTTCCTCATTACGAAACTTCTCCAGAAGTTGATCTGCGAGGTAATATTTGCCATTTTACTTACCATGTTTGCTCATTTATATTGTCCAAATTGGTATTCATTTTTTTACATACCTCTTTTCATAAGTTTGTTCATGATCTGTTGCTCTTGGTTTGTGGAGGAAAAAACTAAAAAGTTTTCCTTTGAAAGCTTCTCTTTATTTGAATTATAAAAACTTCCTGTCTATCTAAAAGTTTTTCAGTGAATTAATAGTTTGAAGTAGGCAATATGATTTGCAGCTCTGCTTATTTGTGTTGTTATCTGGCACAGATTATGTCGCTCGATGCAGAAGTTTCACTGTGTATTGTCTTTAATTGACTTTATTATTGTACTTTATTATGCCACAGGAGATGGAAGCAACTTTTGTAAACTGCAGGTGGATGAGGCGCTCGAAAATGACGACATAGGTGCTGCTTTTAATGTGGCTGGTAAGGACTTGGATACTAGTGTACCTTTATCATGGGTCACCAGCAGCAGTGATAATGATAGTGCCGGATTTGAGGATATTTCTCGCTGGTCTCATTTCCCAGAGAATTTTGACTTTTTGGATCCTAGTCGAGGACCATATCAGTTTAAGGATGGGTACTCATCTTTGTTTAATTATGTTCCTACGAAAAAAGTTCATATTGGACTAACTCATCAAGCAAATCTTCCAATTTGGGATCCATATGTTACCAGGAAAGATCATACGGGTTTCAACTGCTTAGTTGAAATTGAAGAAAAACTTATGGGAACTTGTATCATTCCAATGCCTGATTTAAATACTTCAACCTACAACGATGTTGACGTTGGACGTGGCAGAACAGACTGTGGTTGCCTGGATAAGGGTTCAATGAGATGTGTGCAGCAACATGTAAATGAAGCACGAGAAAAATTAAGAGAGACCTTTTGGGATGAGAATTTTATGGAATTGGGATTTTATGAGATGGGAGAAGAGGTGGCGCACAAGTGGACTGAAGAAGATGAACTATCATTTCATAAAGTCATTTATTGTAATCCCGTGTCGCTTGGTAAAAGGTTTTGGAAGCTTCTCGCAGTGGTGTTCCCAACTCGAACAAAGAAGGAGATTGTCTGCTATTATTTCAATGCCTTTATTCTTCGGAGGCGGTCAGTCCAGAACAGATCTAAATTGTTGGAGATCGATAGTGATGATGACGAGTGGCAAGGTACAGATGGAGGCTTCTGTCGACTTGAAAGAGAGGAGGAAGAATCTGTAGTGGAGTCTTTTGATGATCAAGATGATTCTTCTTCCCAAAATGACGATAACGATGACGATGATTATAATGATGGTGGGAATGATGATGTTGGAAATCTATATGCCATTGAGATGGATGATGGTACAAGTCAAAAGTCCAGATTAGAGTCTGCAAAATTGCATGATGGTTTAAGACTTGATTATAAACCTCATCATTTGGATGGAATTCAAAGCAAAATTGAAGGGGATCAAGATGTCGAAGAACACATCAGTACCTTTTCCAAAACCCAGTCCCAGATGACAGATATCATGGGGTCAGTAGGTCTTGGGAGTGTGGGGCAAGTGAGCAGACACAAAAACGATCACAGAAAATACTCGAACGAAATTACACTAGAGGCAGAGTCAAATGACGATTTTGGTTTTGGGTTTGTAATAGAGTCGTGTGATGCAAATATTTGGGATGACACATATTCGACGGGTCTGATGAAATCGGTTGATCTTTTGCCGACGAGCAATATGATTGAAGAAATATTCGGATCCTATGATGCTTGGAATAGTAAGTCAAACAACGAAAAAAAGCATTAGTTAGTGAATATTTCAAAGCCTATTTACGGTATTTATACTACATTTTTTTGGCCTTGTGATGTGAAAAGCACGAGGTTGGATTGAAAGTGGACACTTTGAAAGAAAGCTTTCAGAGTCTTCGCTTTGCACATATTTTTTTTTTCCCTGAAACTCCATGACTGGTTGGAGGTTCATTCTATACTATGTAGGACTCCATTTTTTTTATGCTGCACAAAAGAAAATCTGCCAATGAGAGATTAGAAAAGTATATGCCAATTTTTATTGTAATCCTTCCTTTAAGCTAATATGGCTTTGAATTTTCATGGAAACCTCTTCAATTGTATTATTATTGAAGTAAATATTTGTCATGAATTTCTTTCCATTAGCTGATGTGCTTCTCGGTGATGTCAATCTTGGCTGATATATTACAGGGTTCGACAAAAATCCACCCAAACTGATCACGCCAACCGTTTATAAGCTCAATTGGCTTCGGTTGTAAAATCAATTTTGTGGACGTGGTGGGTTGGATCGGGTCTCGGGTTATAAATTAAAACCCAATCCAATCCAATGAGTAAAAAAAAGGAAAAATTCATAAATTCTACTTTAAATATACACTATTTCAAAAATAAGAAAACAACTTTTAAATTTTAAAAATCAGATATTTGACATATACATACATATATATTTATATATTTTTTATTTNACCCACCCCATCTCCACCACCCATGCCGCTCCGACAATCGTTCGGCGACCGATCCGACTACTACTCTGATTCCGCTATCGTTCCGACGATTATTCCGGCGACTGCTTAGATTCCGGTGAATATTCCGATTACCGTTCCTTCGTCGATTTATTCCAACTGCTCCGATTCCATCAATTGTTCCAACTCTTGCGAATATTCCGGTGACAACTTCGCCATATTTTTTTTTTGTACAGTTGTGACCACTATCAGCACATCATTCGCATTTGATGGTCACAACTTACCGTTGTATAGTCACAGCCCAGGTCACAAGTCACAGCCCAACTCACAAGTCACAATGCATGGTTATTTGTTTATAATGATTGATAACACAATAAGGCTCATGTCTCACATTTTTGTTAATAGTCATGAGTTATTTTCAAATGGTTACAGCACAGGTCACAGAATATATTGCACGTGGGTCAGGATTTTGTTCATAGTCACAGATTATTTTCAAATGCCACAGTACAGGTCACAGAATATTTTTGCATATGGCTCAAGTTTTTATTGATAGTCACATGTTTATTTCAAATGACCACAGCATAGGTCACAGCATATTTTGCACATGGCTCTTTTTTTTTTTTTTTTAATATTCACAGGTTAATTTTAAATGGTCACAGTGCAAGTCACAGAGGTTTTTTGCACATGGCTCAAATTTCTTGTTAATGGCCACAATTTAATTTCAAATGGTTACTTGATTATAACTTGTTTACAGTCTATTTGCTGGTCACATATTTTCAAATTAGTTGGTCACAGATTTTTTAATGGTCACATATAAAAAAAATTTGTAGGCCACAATTAATTCGTCGATCACAGATTTCAAAATTTATATGTCACACGATCACGAATTTCCAAACTAATTGATCACAGATTCTTTCACGGTCACAGATTATATAATTTAGGTCATATATAACAAAATGGTTGGTCGCAAATTAACCAACACCCCACTTTCGATCATGATCGCTGTAAATTTTTAGTTGCTTTTCACGTTATAAAAAATAAAACTTTTCAGTGATCCAGTTCTCTTTATTTATTTTGGTTCTTCTAGAGATGATGTGAATGAATTTGAATGGGAAATTTAGCTCTCAAAAAAAGGGCCAAAGTTTTCCACATGAGAATATCGATGGTGAGGAAATCCTCCAGGATTTAAGCCAATAGAATCAACACTTATAAAGAGCTTCAAAGGGCCTTCATCTGAACTCTATAGGGAGAGTGAATTGCAATCTCAAACCCATAGAGAAAAGATTCATAAAGCCACTTCCAAGCAAATTATAAAAAAATCCTTTACATAAATTCAATCGGTTTTCTAATCCGTCAGCTCTCTTCGATGTGGTTAAAGCAAATCAATCATCATCGAGCATAATTCAAATAACCAAAATATCTTAATTATAGAAAAAATTAAATAAATTGAAAAAATGAAGAATGTGAACTTACGAGAAAACGCATGAATTCACTACTGTAAGAAAATCTGCATGTCCATAAGTACCAGTAAACATCTTTGATTTTGCATCTTTCCGAATTTACTCTGTTAAATTTCATTGAATCCGCCATTTTTGTTCAGTGGTAAACCTAGTGAGCTGTGAATATGAGCTGGGCTTGGTTGGTCTACACTCACCACCACACTGCACACCTCAACGCTGCGTCGGAAATTCTCTTCCGATGGTGACGCCACCTTCACCACGACCACCATTTTTAGATTCGACACCTTCTACACCGCCGAGAGAGAGAGATAGGGTGTGGGGGTGAGGGAGTTAACGCCACCATAACCACAACCACTCCAACAGACCAGGCCGCCTCCGCCGATTCTCCATCAAGTCACCAGTGACATAGAGGGAGAGAAGTGAGAGACGGAGAGGAAGAGAAGTGAATTTAGGGTTTGAATTGGGATGAAATTAAAATATAAT